TTTTTTTAGCAATAAAGTATTTTTAAATTAAGGTATATAGATTTATATTTAGACATTATGCTATTGCACACTTAGTAGACTATAGCACAGTATAAATATAACTTTTATATGCACTGGGAAACCAACAAATTCATGTGACTTGCCTTAGTGTGATATTTGCTTTATTGTGGTGGTCTGGAACTGAACCTGCAATACCTTTGAGTTATGTCTATATATTAAAAGCATGGCTTTGGATAACACAGAACTAGATGTATATCCTGGCTCTTCTGCTTCCAAGGTAGATAAATGGACAATGTTTATCTCGACATCTATAAACCTCTTTTTGCACATCTTTACAATTGAGTTAATAATATGTACTCTACAAGATAAGATTGACACTTTCAGGTCTGCCATTGTGACAGTTCTTCTCTTAGTAGAGTAATTATAGAAAAAGAAAAGTGAAGATAAAACTGGATAATATTGTACACCCTTCAGGTGGCAAAATTTAATGTCCTTCAAAATTTAATATCCTTCAAAATGTCTCCTCTCTGTTGTTTTCAGTCTCCTGTTTCAAAAGTCATTTATAAGCAGTCATGGCATGACAGTTTTTCATTTAGCTTTCCAGAGTTCCTGTGCAAAACCTCAGCGGACCTACATGCTGTGTAAAAGATACTCCTCTGGGCACTGGAGGAGCTACGCAGCTGAGCCTAATATTGAATGACTTACACATCTTCCCCTTTTGTGTAGCAGCCCCATGCAGAAGCTTCAAGATTATCCCCCCAGACTGGAGGGCACTGCTTCAAGGAGTGTATCCCCTCAGTTTGGAGAATCTCTGACAGTCCTGAAAGTGAAGAGAAATGTGCACTGATGCCCCAGCCCAAGTCTTTTGTCTCACATTCTACATTTCCAGAGTCATGGACCTACCTGAATACTGTAGTACTCCAGAGATGCATACGATGGCATTGCCTTTGGCTCCTTGTATCAGTCAGGGCTTGGTCAGAGAAGCAGAACCTCTATATCTACATCTCTACTTATACCTGAATCTCTATGTCTATCATCTATCTACATACTTATGAAAAATAAAAGGATTTGCTTGCCTGTAATCCTAGCACTCTGGGAGGCCGAGGCCGGTGGATCGCCCAAGGTCAGGAGATTAAGACCAGCCTGAGCAAGAGCGAGACCCCGTCTCTACTAAAAAATAG